GACCTTGGGCGACTCATATTCTCCTGGCCTCAGAAAACCCTAGGATAGATTCGCCTTAGGATTGTCATAAATTGGAAATGACTTGAAGGCACAAAATAGCAACAAGCATACATAAAGATAAGGCCAAGTCTCTATGGGAGAGACCAGGAGAAGAGTGGGCCTCTGTAGCCACTGAGAACTTACTTTCTTATTTACTTACTTACTTACTTACTTACTTACTTACTTATTTAAAATATTTATATTACAACCTACATTGTGAAAACTCAACTCTGCATTGTGAGAACTCAACTCTTCTGCTCCCTCTCTTGATCTGTTTGGCTGCTTTATACCTTTGTCTTCTGTAGAATTTGCTGTGACTTCTTCTTTCCTTGATGGTGGAGATCTTTTGTAATGCAAAAGTGTTGTTGCCCAAGGGTCATCTTATTTTTGCTGTTTCAGCTGGAGTGGGGAGATGGCAGTGGCAGGATGCTGTGTCCCCTGGGATGAGACCATCTTCCCCATCTGCACCTCCATCCCAGGAGGTCCATGGGGGTGACACCATGACTAACCACACTGGGTGACACCAACCCTACTGAAGCCACTAGGAAATGGGATTCTGTTGGTCTGGCAATGCTCCAGTTAGCAAAAGATCACCTGCTCAGACTCTGTGAAAATGTGGCTGGAAATAAAGCCCAATTGGAACCCCGAAGTGCCAACTGCCAGTCAGAAAACATGGCAGCCATCTCTCACCTTTCCTTGGCAAAAGCAATGAAGACAGAGGCTGCGATCTCACATTCTGGGAAAAGAGCACAAATTGCATAGTTGCGAGGTGGCAGGAGCAACAGTCAGTTGAGCAAAGGACACGAATTGTTTGTGAAACACATTTCTCCTCTGCTAGGTTGCTTTTTCTCTTCTCCTTCTCCTTCTCCCTCCCTGGTACCACTGTAAATTAGAGGTGGTGTGAAGAAAACAACATCTGTTTCCTTTCCTCAGAAATGCTGCTTATGGGGAAAGAAGGGGGGAAATCATGTTGTTCTCATTCCTCTATGGTCTTCTTCACTGGCCTAATTCTCTGAGGTTCTGTGACCCATCAGCCCAACTTCCACCCCACTTTTGGAGGTCACAAAAGTTCTTCTTCACTTCACAATTGTTCAGAGCTTGGTTAGGGGAGTGGACCAAGAAGAAGAAGAGGGGAAGAGGAGGAGTGAAGGAAAGAAGGAGAAGGAGAAGGAGAAGGATGTATTTCTGGCAGTTCTCTCACAACTCCCCTCATTATCTATCTGTGGCACTAAAAGAGCCCCCCAAGCGATTGCGCTTTTTTATTACTTGTAAAATGTGGGATATAAAATCTAAATACCATTAAAAATAGGAGCCTTTACTGACAGGATAAAAATTTATGAGGAGCCACCCTCATAAAATGTGACGCTAGGCCTCCCAGGGTCCTTGGCCTCCCTCAGAAATGAATTATTGATTTTCTCTCTACAACTCCTTCCCCAAACTCATCATTTTAGTCAAACTAATTCCAGAAGAAGATTTTTCTGTCATACAGAAAAGGTCAGTTAGACCAGGTTATCACTGGGAGCCTGGGAGGAATGAACAAGGACAGGTATGCCCAAAACCTATTCTTAGTCTTGACTAGCATAGGGCCATGTTGCCTCACTAATCAACAATAGATCTAATGGATCTGCTCTAGCTGGAAGCAACCAACAGTATCCCAGCTGTCATTTGTTTAGTCCCCAAAGACATTTAGGGTTCAATTTTTAGGCTACAAATGAATATGCACCGAAAAGTTTCTCCTCAGGGATTGTTGTAGAAACTTCCTTGGATATTCAAATATCTGTCAAGTTGTCATGAAACATGAAAAAGTATGATATCCTTTGATGTGCGGCTCTGATACAATATTATTTGATCATTATTGTTAGCCACAGAAATACTTGTGTAATAATGTATATGTCATTGAGCAAAAAGGCAAGCTAAGCCCCAAAGAGCTTACAGTCTAAATGCTAACTATGAGAACACAGTTACATATATTTAGCCCTACCTTTTATAAAGCAGTGATGGCTGGTGGCCCTGATGGGCAAATCTGCACTGGATTTAGTCCAAACTAAAGGAACTTTCCATAGTACTGAAACTACTATCCAATTTGCTTCAGTACCTTGGATAGCTCAAATCTGGAATGGAATCACTGTCTCACTAACATGGAAGCCACTTGCTGTTGCAAGAGGTGAGGTCTACTTATAATATCTTGTACATATTGGTTGAATGACTAATATTCAAAATATTCATTGTCTCCAGCAACAGGGAGAAAATTTCAGTAGTTATTCATCCTTGTGTACAAAGATAATTAAGGACTTCCAGCCCCAGATTGTACTTTGCCCATCTCTGGACTGGATGGACCATTGTTCTGATCCAGTAGGGTCCTTCTAATGGCTTTATAAACTTAACCCCCCCAAAACAAAATGTCCCTCTGGCCAATATTCTTTTGACCCTGTTGTCCAAGCCACCAAATAAGCTTCAAATTCTGCTTTAGGCAATCTATCCATCCTCAGTGCTATAAAATGAGATCACATGCTATCAACTGAGCAAAATAGACAAAGGGGCACTAAGTACCTTCCGAACATTATTTGTTGGAAAGAATTGTTCATTAGAAGCCAGTAAAGTGCAGTTCAGATTCCCTGCTGGGTAAAAATGTGAATGTCTCCCCTTTAGAAATTGAAAAACAAGATGATAATTATCTAAATGTGGCCCATCCTGAGGTCTCCTAGCTGAACTTTTGCATTTAAGTGAGTGCTTATTTTATGTTACCTGGATGACTGAAATTTTAATGCATTGAAATGACTTATCGGAGAAGGTTAGCAATAAGAGCAAACTTAATCTCGGTATAATCAGAGACTGTAGTGGTGTCCCTAAACTGTTCCACTTTCCATCAAAAAGTGTTTTATAATACAAAAAATATAAAACACAGTTTTATGGGCCTTTTTTCCCAATCTGACCTTTTTAAAATGCTTGACATTCGATTTTGATCCTCCCAAGACATTGGTTTTTAATCTTCTACTATCAATATTCAAAATTAAAAGAAAGTCGGACAGGTGTGCAGACAAATAAAATCACACTTCACAGTGTTATCATACTCCATGGTGTGAAAGCATTCACATGAAACCCTTAAGGAGAAAAACAAGTGCTTTTGGCAAGTTCTTTTTGAAATTATAGTTTCCATGCTGGCTGGGGAATTGTTGGAGTTGTAGTCCCTAATGTAAATTTTCCAAGCTATGGGACAAAAATAGTGCATGGTTTTCAGAAGTATCAGTGCTGGTTGGGTCATCCAGGATACTGGATTATAGTGTTGTTCAGTTTTATATAAACTTATTTTTGTCCTCAGTCAAGAGATGGAGTCAAGGATTTGGACTAGCAGGGCAAGCAGGGTTAACACGGTGGCTATCCAAATTAGCTCCATGCGCTTTACAACTGCATCACATCCATGCAGGAACCACTCAATGATAGATGAGCCTCATAGTGTTGGGTGTCTCTTGGGGAATGGGTGACAGATGGACCTGTCAGTGTGAAGGTATCACCTGCTTCTTGTGAGGCAAAGATGTGGTTGTTGAGCTGTGAAAACTAGCTTGTATCCCATGCACCCCCTCCAGACAGGCATCAAGAGAAGAGATTCCATTTAAACCTTAGGAAGAAATTGTTTGGAAGTGGAATAGATTGCTTCAGAGGATGGTGGACTCAGTCTCTTTGGAGATCTTTAAACAAAGTTTGGATGGACACCTATAAGGAGCGACTTAGGGAACTGGGTATGTTTAGCCTGGAGAAGAGAAGGTTAAGGGGTGACATGAGAGCCATGTTTAAATATTTGAAGGGATGTCATATTGAGGATGCCAGCGTAGTTATGCTGGCATGATCTTGGGATGATTTGGATCAGGGAACATTAGTTACTGAACCTCCAAATTCTAAAACCTCCACAGCTTTGTTCATGATCCTTCAGCCATGATCCTTCCTTCAAATTGACTTCAACTATTGTTCCTCTGCATCCTGAAAAGCAAACATCAAACCAAATGCAGCTGGCCCAAAACAATGAAGAAGCTGTGGGGGATGAGAGACGCTTTGATCCCCGGAAGTAGAGGCATTCCATGCAATTATGTCACCTTTCATGTTTGGTCATGTTCTCATCATGGCGACTCTTTTGGTGCATCTTCAGAGAACTGGGAGGATTCAAACAAATGCCCCCATGTCCCCAACCTTCATCTTCTCCATATCAAATCCCAAAGCTTATCGTTCCCTGATTGCACGGTGCGCTAACGAGTTTTTTTGCCAAAGGAAGTTAATTAAGGTGTTGCTATTTGTACGCCACACGACAAAGAGCCCAAGAAACGGCAATTATATTAAGTGCATCTGCAGGCCATTTGGAAACATGTAAATAATGCAGGAGGTCTTTTGATAAAATACCAGCATCCACAACAATAATAATACTAATGGCATGTTAAGTAAGATATAGGCAGACAATTTGAAATGGAAATACAGAAAGCAATTACGTATCTACGGACTTCATTGCCTTCTGTAATCAGCACAATTATGGGTGTGCATGTTTTTTCCCCCTTGCAATCTGTTGCGGTGCATTTGAAATACAAGCACGGATTCTTCCAAGACTCATGGTAATGATATTGAAAGAATACTGAAAGAAAGATATAAAGCCATCATATACTATATCATAGGGTTGGGTAAAATGCAGGCCACAGGCTGTATGCAGCCCCCAGGACTGTTTTCATGGGCTTCAGGAGTCAAATAATTGCTTCTAAATGCTCCTAAATGCCCTCTAGAGGTATGGAAGGCATTTCCATCATGTTTGGAAGACCCCTGTGTCCCCCAGGGTCAAAATTATTTTTAACAAAAACATTTAACAAATTTAACAAAAACATTTCCCCAAAATGTCTTCTTGGGATATAGGGCACATTTCAATCACATTTTCAACCCCACCATCCCTGCAACCAATGGAGGCCCAGGGATGACCTTGCAGAAAAGACTTAGTGTGGTGTAGTGGTTTGAGCATTAGACTATGACTCTGGAGACCAAGGTTCAAATCCTAGTTCAGCCATGGAAACTGACTAGGTGACCTTGGGCAAGTCATTCTCTCTCAATCTCAGAGGATGGCAATGGAAAATCCACTCAGAAGAAACATGCTAATTAAACCTCATGATTAAATGCCTTAGGGTCACCATAAGTTGATAATTATTATTGTTTCCAACAATAGGTGCAATGGAGAGTAAATCCTTCAAGATCTCCTGTAGAGCTAAGAAGCCCCCCTAGCTTTCCCCAGCTGTCTCCCTTGTTATATTGGACAGTAGGGCTATTGTCTTGCCTACGACCAATTTATTGTTAAGAGTACTTGCGTACTATCACAGCAATAATGCAAGGCATCAGGGAAGGGTGTTTCCCAGCAATACTATCTGTGTTCCTTGTAAGTAGAGACTGAACCTAGAACCTTCTTTCCCAAAATATCTGCTCCACCATCCAGCTAAAGGCCTCATCCTGACATCAGCTTCACCTCACAGAGGCGCATCCTCTCTCCTTGCCTAGTCAATCTCCATTATCCTAAGTCAAAACTACATTCTGCATATACAGCTCTGTGTCCTCCTCCCCACTCAAGGCAACTGCCAGATCCCAGGGATCACCGTTTCAGCTCTTTAATGGCTGGCAATGGGAAGAATAGAGGCAACAAAGCAGCACCCATCTGGACTATAATTTTGCAGCCAGGAGGAAAGAAAAGAGGCCATTTCCCACAGTGGCTGCAGAATTAATCCATTTTTCTTCTTGCTGTTGCATTTCTTCAAGTCCTTTCAAACTTAGGGCGACCCCAAAATGAACCTATTAAAGAATTTTCTCTGCAATATTTGTTCAGAGTCCATTACTAAGGGTATAAAAAGTATGGCCCCAACCTCCTTCACTCTCAATAAAAGTCTGACAAGTAGCGGAGGATTTAGCCCATAGTGATGAAACCACTCAAAGAAATGCTAAAAGAATCTTCCGGATAATTTCCGTCCAACTCTTTAATAGGGAAAATATAGCAGGAGGACTAGCCATCCACTTGAAATAAATAGATTGGACTTCAAGGATCAGATTCAGTGGCAAGTGTTGGCTCTCCTGAAAGTGGGTTGGCAAATACAATCTGGATTTTACTCTGAAATTTAAAGGAATTACCTGATGCACTGAACCTATTTGGGAGATACAGTTCAGCACCTCAACAAATACAAATGAATATTCTTTCCCTCCCTATTTGGACTTTAAAGGTGTTCTCCAAGGTGCTAGACCTATTTGGATGATAATTTTCAGCACCTTGGATAGCTCCCTTAACCTCTAGCCTGTTAGAGAACAATATCATGGATGACACAGTTATTATGAGATTCTCCATGCTCATGAAAACTGATTTTAAGTACTCGAAATAGTTAGCCAAGGAAGACCGGGTTTTAAAACACCTCCTAGAAAGAATTTCACACCAGGAAAGAATGTCACTGCTATAAATTGCCAAACGCACATGAGCTGGTGAGTGAGGTGTGTACGATATCTAGTATCTACCATCCATCAAAATCTACCCACCTCCATTTAAGTGATTTTTATCTGCCCATCAGTATGCTCTAAAAGAGCATCTTTAACTATTAGCCTAGAGAACAGCCAAAAAGAAATCTCTTTCCCTCATTTGACAGGTCTAAAAACTATCCCCCTGTGTTTTGCTCAGCATGGTCTTTAAGTGTTAACCTTTCCTTCCAAAAAATACAAGCCTTTGGCAGGGAAGGACACAGAGGCCCTGAAACCAGAGCAGAACAGCTCGATGCTTCAAATGGAGATGCATCTGCAGTGCAAACAGCCTGAAGCAGAAGGCCTGGCAAAGCAAGCGCTGTATGACAAGCACCCATGAAATCCACTCGGGAGATTTCCAAGCCCCATCTCTAGCTCTGCATTTTCCAAGCCGACATGGAGATCAGGGTTTTCAATGAATGTTTGATGGCTTGTGAAAGAAATAAATACCTTTCATCCACAAGAAGCCACAAAACCAAATTACACACTGAAAATCACATTAACAAAGGAAGTGGAATAAATCTAGCCTTGGCCTCTCTCTCTCTCTGATGGATACTGAGACTTCCCAGTTTCTCAGCATCTTGAAAATGGCCCCATTAGTTCCCACCTTCCTCTCTCCATCCATCCCTTCTCCAATCCCCATAAGATAAACTACCACCCACCACCATCCTCCAGGAACTATGGGTGGCCCCATCTTTCAGCTTCTCTGCCCACACAAATTCAATGCTGGCCTTTGAAGGTATTGCTCTAATTCCTTTTCCTGAAATCTCCAGAAGCTGGACAGATGGATTAGGGGATGCTTGTGTGCCAAGGCCTATGGTCCTCCAAATCATATAATCATAGACCCATGTGGTTGGAAGGAACACCAAGGGCCAGCTAACAATCCTCTGCCAGTGTTGAACAGCTCTTACCATTTAATTGGAATCACCTTTCTTGTCATTTAAATCTGCTGGCTTGGAACAAGCTGAATACAAGCTCACTCCATCTTCTACATGACAGCCCAACAGATATTTGAAGATGGCTCTCTTATCACCTGTCAGTCTTCTCTTTTCCAAGCTAAATGGACCAAACTCCTTCAACTGTTCCTCATAGTACTTGATCTCTTGGCCTTTTTGTCACTTTGGTTGTCTTCCTCTGGATACATTACAGCTTACCAAGGTCCTTTGTCAACTATAACATCCACATCTCAACACACAACTCTGGGTGATGTCTGACCAAGACAAAAGATATTGTTTGATTATAATAGTCAAGAAAGAGAAAGGGGGAACAACATGGTCAATGCTCAGTTATAGTCAAGCATCTCAAGGGCTGCAAGTCCTCCATCCCTATGTGGAGCTTTTAGAAACAATGGCCAAACTCCTGTTGATAACTTACACTGAGACAGTCCCTGCCTTTGCCAATGTAAGTAGTTGTGGAGGGGAGGTGTTCTGGAAGGTGATATTGCACACCTTCTTACACAATGTGTTTGTACTGATTGTGGAAGGATAGCTGGACAACTCTTGAGTGAAGCTGGGATATTGGGGGAGGGGGGTTGCTGGACACTATCCAGACAGCAGGGATTAAGCTGGTCTTCCAAAATGGTGCTCTTCGTCGTGCGTGCATGCGCACGATGCAGGGCACCATTTTGGAAGGCCCAACCACGCTGGCACCATGCAAACCGCAGTGAGGATATGAGACAGTCCCTCCCCTTTGCCCAACTCCATTTAATGGCTATAGAAGCACCCTTCCAGTCTTGGAAGCTGCTGAGAAAGAGCTTTAAGGCAGAGCACAAAGGGCAAGTAACCAGTGGCATCACTCAGAGTGCAGGGAGTGTGGACCTCACCGGGTGACACCCACAAAAAGGGTGACACCCGACTGGGCCTTCCTCCCACTTCAGGGCAGGAGTGGTGAATTCATGCCCTTCCCAGCTGCTCCCAGGGGAGAAAACCCAGAGATGAGGGGCAGGAGGGACAAACATGCACCCTTCCCACATTGGGTGACACCATAGTTAGTGACACCACTGCCAATCACCAGCCCCTTGTATCCCATCCAAAGCAAGGCAAACACGCTGAACACTTGTGTAGATCACTAACCAGTTTCAATCTTTGCATTGTTTCTGTATCCAATATTAATGAAGCAGTCTGGAACCAGAGAAGAGGCAGATTTGTCTGGGCAAAACAGTAACCGCATCCAACAGAGGCAAGTCATAAGTGCACTCGCAGCTTCATCTGTTGCTTTAATTCGGCTCCTGCGCTGTCAGATGCCCTTCATTAATGCCTCTGGTGGCCCTGCCCCAGGCTCTGGGAGAGTGGGAAGTGGTGGCGTATTTCTCTTTTAAGCTCAGGCATAATTTTATTTCGGAGCTGACAGCTCCATTCTGAGAGTCTGCAGTCTTAATTTGGGCCTTTAATTAGAATGCAATTGGACTGGCTGGCAGCAGTAGGAGAAACCCTCTTGTGTCATCTCTTCTCCCTGGGGCAGAGTAGGAGAGACAACGGCAGCAAATTAGGGGGAGTGAAGTCATTAGTAAAAGTGTAGAAATGATGGTGGCACAGAAAGGTTTGGATCTAAGGCAGTAGATGCTCCATAGTCAAACTGAACAGTCCCATGCAATCCTGTTCCCAGCTTCAGGAGATGATGGCCTGGATCTGGTTCACCAGTTGTGAAGCATAACTTTATATCAGTGTAGCTATGCTAGGAGAGCCAGCATGGTGGAGTGGTTTGAGCATTGACTCTATGACTCTGGAGAGCAAGGTTCAAATTCTGCTGGGGACCTTGGGTGACTCACAGCCTGTCAGCCTCAGAGGATGGCAACAGCAAACCTCCTCTGAAGAAACTTGCCAAGAAAATCCTGTGATAGGGTCTCCATAAGTTAAAAATGGCTTGGAGGCACACAACATCAAAGTTATGCTGGAGTAACTGGACTGCACCATTGCGTAGCTGACTGCACAACAGGTAACAGTGTGGTTGTGCACTCTCCCATTGAACAACCATGAATCCAGTGTCGTATTGACTACTAAGGACTACACTGATGGAACCTCTTGGGGTGCAACTACACTGTAGAAATAATGCAGTTTGACATCATTTTAACTGTCATGGCTCCATCCTACAGTGTGATGTAGTGGGATTTCTTTAGCCTTCTCTGTCAAATAGGGTTGGTGCTTCACAAATCTACAAATCCCAGGATTCTATAGGATAGAGCCATTGCAATTAAAGTGATCTCCACCTGCATTATTTCCACAGTGTAGATGCAACCCTAGACAGCACAATTGTTTGTGCAATGGTTTACCCCAGCATAGCAAAACTTGTGCAACCCAGAACCTGAAGTCACCCTTGTACACTCTCTGAAAAAGTAAAACCACATGTGTGACGGCAGTACAAAAGCAACAATCAACAACCAATTTGCTCTTCATCTTCCAGGATCCAAAGGTTAATGCCAGGAGGACAAGAACACTGGCACACTCCAAAAAGTTAAGGGGACTACAGCTAAGACTACTTGTTCCTGAAAGAAAGAGGTTCATCCACTCAAACTCAACTCTCCAT